GGCATGGAAGAAGCTGTTGTGGCAGGGTGACATAGTTCGGAGGCCGCCGCGATTGTTCCGAGCGGTCCATCGACGTCTCGGCAGGCCCGCATCCCCTCTTCGGCTACTGAGAGGTTGAAGGGCGTAGTGGTACATGAGTATGAATCTGATTCAGATATCAATCCTGAGGACATGAGGATGTTCGAGGAAGGTTTTACCAGGGTCGATGTGAGGGTGGAAGGCCCTTCCCGTGTGCTCAAAATTCCGTCAGATTTTAACCTGTTGGAGGACATGGTGGACTTGGTGCCCCAACTTTACCTTCTGTGTTCCGCCGCCAAAAGTAGATCTCTTCGGGAGATCAGTAATTCCGGTTTGTCGTGTGGCGTGGCTGGGATAGCCTTGAGGGTGAGTTTTCTTTTGATATTTTCTTTGTTTTATGCCATTTACTTTCACTGATTCTTTCTTTTTTCCTCCTCGAACTTATATGCTAGAGATCAAGAGTGCTCGTCGGGCTGAGACGCGGGCCGATGTCTTTCTAAAAATGGCCACGAAGTACCGCCGGTATCACGATAGGTGTCGTGAGATGCACGCGTAGCTTAGGGCAGGCAGTAGTACTCAATCCCTCAAGGAGGAGTTGGAGATGAAGGACGAGGATCTGATGCGGTCTATCCGCAGATGTAGCGAGCTTGAGGGGCTGCTTAGGGCCAATGATGAGGAGCTCGAGGTGGGCAAAGGGGTTGAAGTGGAATGTGAGGATCTTCAGGCGAAGGTGTTATCCTTGCGAGCCGAGCTTGAGCAAAATGCCACTAGAGTCGCAATCTAAGTGCAGAGTGGACAGAGAAAGTGGCAGAGCTAGAAAAGAAGGTGGCCGAGTTGGAGAGGGCTGAGGGAGCCCAAGTGGCGGCTTTGGCGAGGGCAGCGGCGCTGGAAGACACTATCCGCGTCCTTAGGTCTGAGTGGGAAGCCGAGAGGGCGACGGCCACACTGAGGAAGGCAAGGCTCGAGGACAGGATCGGTAAGCTCGAGCGGGATGCCTCGAACCTAGGAGACCAAGTTGTGGCTCTCGAGGCCGAGAAGGCGCAGCTATTAGCTCAGGCCCCCCTTTGGAATCTGCCTCTGTTGCTTTGCCCCGCCATTTGTACGAGCTATGGGTCTATGCTGAGACCCAACAAGATGTAAATAAGGGTTTGTGGGCGACGGGGAGCGTGTCTGAGGCTGCTTTTGAAGAAGCTCGGATTAAGGCACGCAAGGCTCGTCTTGCCTACGGTTATGACCCTGTGACATCGGAGGCCGGTGGGGGTGCTGAGATTGAAGATGGGCTTTCTTATCATGACAACGCTGCCGAGGACGGTGGTGGAGATGAGGCCAAGTGAAGTTTTGGTAGCTTTTTGTACTTAGATTTTTTTTGTTTCTTTTCTTGTTGCTTGTTTTTTCTTTTTACGGGGGCACGTTTTCGGCCTTTTGTAAGACGCTGTCGTGTATGTATATATATCTGAATAAGATAGTTAGTTTGCCTTTGGTTGCATATCTCAGACTCTCTTTCTCATCCATTTTTTGAAAAGATCTTAAGATTTTCCCGTGATGAGCCCCTAATTTTTAGTTGGAATTCGGATGAGGTCGAATTTAGCTCACTGATTCAAATAAGGTCGGATCTCATCTCGTTAGTTCGAACGGGGTTGAACCTTACTTTGTCAGTTCGAGCGAGGTCGAATTTTATTATCTTGAACGAAAGTTGACATTTTTTGGCGATGGCCGGGAGCCGTAATGATGTAAATTCGAGCGAGGTCGAGTTGTAACCTGTAATGAGTTCGAGCGAGGTCAACTTATTAATTCGACGAGGTCAAATTTTACTTTAGCTTGGCGATGGCCTGGGGCCGTAAGGGTGTAAATTCGAGCGAGGTCGAGTTGTAACTCGTTATGAGTTCGAGCGAGGTCGAACTTCGGCTTATTGATTCGACGAGGTCGAATTATACTTTTGCTTGGCGATGGCCGGGGGCCGTAAGGGTGTAAATTCGAGCGAGGTCGACTTGTAACCCATTATGAGTTCGAGCGAGGTCAGACTTTGGCTTGTTAGTTCAACGAGGTTGAATTTTACTTTCGCTTGGCGATGGCCGGGGGCCGTAAGGGTGTAAATTCGAGCGAGGTCGACTTGTAACCCATTATGAGTTCGAGCGAGGTCAGACTTTGGCTTGTTAGTTCAACGAGGTCGAATTTTACTTTCACTTGGCGACGGCTGGGGGCCGTAATGGTGTAAATTCGAGCGAGGCCGAGTTATAACCCATTATGAGTTCGAGTGAGGTCGAACTTTGGCTGTTGATTCGACGAGGTCGAATTTTACTTTCGCTTGGCGGCGGCTGGTGTCCGTAAGGGTGTAAATTTGAGCGAGGTCGACTTGTATCCCGTTATGAGTTCGAGCGAGGTCGAACTTTGGTTGTTGATTTGACGAGGTCAAATTTTACTTTCGCTTGGCGATGTGCGAGCTCGGTGGAGTGGTAAGAATGTTGCATGTTGCCTTGCTTTTATTGGAGAATATTACTCATTGCTGCATCGCTTATGCATGCGTCGGGGTGAGTCCCAGTTTATCTTAATCTTGCTTTTATTGGAGAATATCATACGTCGATGTATAGTTTATGTATGCGTCGGGGTGAGTCCTAGTTTATCTAATCTTGCTTTTATTGGAGAATATCATGCGTCGCTGCATGGTTTATGTATGCGTCAGGGTGAGGCCTAGTCTATCTAGTCCATTCATTGCTCATCCTGGAGAGACCGTTGACGGGACGGCCGATGGACTTATTGCTTGGACTTCTGGGCACCTTGGGGCTCGATTAATTTGAACGAAATTCGGATGTGACTTGTAGTATGTAGTCGGCTGAATTGGTATAGCATTGCCATGGCGAGCACACGGGCAAGCTTTTCGTGTTCATGTCTTGCCAGTGTTGGGGGGACTGTACTTTCCATGGGCTCACCGCCCAATCCCAAGCTATGGATATTGTTTCTTAATGATGTCGGCTGGTTCTGAGTCATTTGTCTGTTATCTGTAGCATGGTATGGTGTGGGGGGTTTTGCTCGACCGTTGCCTGCGGGATGATATGGTGCGGAACGTTTTCCTGGTGTGTTGTTTTGGTGGCATTTGTTCCTTTTGCGCACCTGGGAGAATGATCTTGTTCCTATCACAATCCAAAAAGACAAATAACAAGCCAAACCCAAACGAAATTGTCTAGTACCTTGGCTTGCTTGGTTGGTGAGGGGAGAGGGGCATTATCAAATGACTCTTTTTACCTCGTACTCGGATGACGGCTTCAGATTTGATCTCAGCCTCATGCTTAGATTCGTCGTTAGTCTAGTACGGGCTTCTTATGGGCTGACAACTCACTTTGCCCGTTGGGGTCTCAAGTTCGAGTCCCAGTTCGGTCCCGTACCAGGTGCACAAAAGTAGGGGAAACATAAGTTATACTCCATCCATACAGGCAAGACAAGCTTGTTATTTCAAAGAATCACATAATATGCTGTCGTCTCTTCCTAAGAGACGGGGGGGAGGGGGGCAGTTTGCATGAAGTATAGATTGGTATCTAACGTTAATATAGCAGATAGGATTGCAGACGTACTCAGTGTGTAGCGGCCATAATCCTACTCTAACAACTCATACTCGCAACGTACCAAACCTATCGCTACAGCAAGACGTGGATTTTATATAGATATCAAACATAATTTTGATTTCATGCAAAGATCTGACCTTGGTTGGTTCGGTTATTTCGAAAGCTTGCCTACAAACTTCTCAAATTGGTGTTTGTAATAAGAGGGTGAGGCTACAACAACCGGGAAGTGGAACTCTGGTTGACTTTAGATCTAGAGAAAACTAAAATTTTTGCTAGAAAATCCCCACAGACAGCGTCAAATTGTTCGACCAAAAAGATTTGGACTTTTTATGGAACTAATTAAATAAGAAGATTTGAGCTAAATCCTAGCCAAATATAATTTACCCTAGATCTAAGATAGAAGATAAGAATAAGCAAACATAACTGAACATAAGATTTAACTATAACAATGATTGAATCCCATTATGTAAGAAAAGGATGGTGGTTTTCATAATATTAAATGATAACAAAGAATACATAGATAAAAAGGGTAACCGTTCAATAAGGTTGACCCCCAATACACTTTGATCTAGAGCAACTAATGATGGATATTGAGGATCTAAGCTTCCTTTCTCCTTGACGAGGAGCCAAAGATGAAGATCTTCCTTGATCTGTAAAGATATGTCTATATGTGTGTGTGAATTTTTTGTCAGCCCCCCCCCCCCCTCTTAATTCTCTCACCTAGGATATATACTAGGTATTCTGCTTTACACAACGGTCATTAGCCAGAGTACCTCAGTTCTTTAACTGAAGTACAAACCGACCCTCTGAAATGTCGTGACGCCCAATTCACCGTACAAGCATTCTGAGTACACGACCTCGGCCACGGCCGAGTTGCTTGTCACTATAGCTTTGTACGAATACGACTTCGGCCCAAGTGACTTTGTCGTCCCTCTTTGCGCAGATTCTTGTTCGGTCAGATTTCGACTCATACATGAATTTGTTTTACTTAATTCTTAGATTTTCTCCATTAATGTATAACTATTAATTCAACGTCCCACATGAGGACTTGCAATATCACTGGTTCCATAAAAACGTGCTCCAAAACTGTTAAGTAAGTAAGGGATGTAAATAGTTTGCTTCATCTCTGGTAAAAAGTAAAAATCTCAAGATATAATAATAGTCTAACACTAATTGGAATAATGACGATGACTAATTTATGGAAGAGGGACATCTGTTTATTCACAGTTTTAAATCATAGGAGAAATTTTCTTACGTTTCTTTCTGATAGAATATGGATTTGCATGAGCATTTCAAACCCTAAATTCTAGAGGATTCAGAGAATGAGTATTTAACAACTTAACTACCACTCACGTGTCTCTCACATGTGTGTGTATCGTCTAAAATACCCCTCTTGTAACTAACTTTAATCCTCAATACCGCCTCTCAAGCTGGAGGGTGGAAGATGGCTAATACAGCAAGCTTGAATATTAAGAAACAATATTGTGCAACAATTAATCCTCTATTTAGAAGGTCTGCTAATTGCAAAGAAGAAGAAACATAACATGGATGTATAAGCCCTGTCTTGATCTTCTCTCTTACAAAATGACAGTCTATCTCGATATGCTTTGTTCTCTCGTGAAATATTGGATTCCCAGCTATTTGTATTGCTACCTTGTTATTGCAGAATAGAGAAACAGGTTTAGACACATTGATCCCCAAGTCTTTCAACAGTCCTGTTAACCATGTGATCTCTGCAGTTGCAGCAGCCATGCTTCTGTACTCAGCTTCTGCTGAGCTCCTGCTCATTGTAGGTTGCTTCTTTGATTTCCATGATATCAAAGAATTACCTAGTTTCACAACATAACCTATCACAGATCTCCTTGTATTGAGGCATGATGCCCAATCTGAATCACAATATGCGCTGAGATGATCAATGGCTCCTGCTTCCATAAATAACCCCAGGCCTGGTGCTCCTTTGATATAACTCACCACTCTCAATGTTGCCTTCATGTGCGACTGTTTGGGCTTTTGCAATAATTGACTCAAAGTTTGAACTGCAAAACTTATGTCAGACTTGGTGATAGTTAGGTATAACAGCCTCTCTATCAATTTTTGATATGCTGAATTATCCTTTAACTCTGAATCTCCTGTCTTTCCAACACATGTATCATACTCCACAGTTGTCAATTTTTGATTAAACTTTATAGGAGTTGCAACTGGCTTTGCACCACTTAAGCCTGCTTCTGAAATTAACTCCAGAGCATACTGTCATTGATTGAGTAAGATCCCTTTTTTTGACCTTGAGACCTCAATTCCCAGAAAATATCTTAATTGGCCTAAGTCCTTAACTTTGAACTTGCTATGCAGAATTGTCTTAGCATCATTGACTAATTAAGGTGGAACATCTTCCAATAATCAGTAAATCATCCATATATACTAATATAATGACCATCTCTTGTCCTTGATGCTTTGTGAATAAGGAGTGATCAAATGCACTTTGTTTGTAACCACTCTGAACTAGTGCATCTGTGAGCTTTATGTTTTATTGTCTGGATGCTTGTTTGAGACCATAGAGAGATTTCATAAGCCTGCACACTTTCAACTCCCCCTGTTTATGAAATCCCTGAGGCAACTGCATATAAACCTCCTCATAGAGACCTTCTTGGAGGAAGGCATTGCTAACATCCATTTGATATAAAAGCCAGCCCTTGGCAGCAGCTATGCTGATAATGGTCCTGATCGTGACCATCTTTGCTACAGGGGAAAATGTGTCATGGTAGTCCAACCCTTGCTTCTGATTATATCCTTTTGCAACTAGCCTTGCCTTGTATATTTCTACCTCTCCATTTGCCTTATATTTAATTTTGTATACCTATTTTGACCCAATGGCCTGCTTCCCAACTAGTAAGTCCACTATCTCCCAAGTATTATTGTCCTCAAGGGCTTGATCTCCTGTTGCATAGCTGCAACCCATCTGCTATCATTGGAAGCCTGCTAATAATTACTAGGTTCAACTTCAACTGAGAAAGCCTGCAAATATGCTTGATAACCTGCTGTGAGATTAGCATAAGTCAGGGTGTTAGACAATAGATATAAGCAATGACCAGAAAACTTCTTAGTAGTTTAATAATCTTTTAGCCAAACTGGGGGATTTGAGGTTCTAGTGGTTTTCCTGGAACCTTGAGCATTAATATGTTCCAGCATGCTGGTGTCAGGAACAACAGTGATCTCTGGTTCAGTGTTAGGGATCAATTTAGCTGAGGTATCTTGCACTTCATGCTCAACGTCAACTACCTCTGTAGTTTGAGTTGTATGGTCAATCTCCAGTATTTTTACAGCAGGTGTACTGATATCTCCTATGACTGGAGTGGTGTCTGTAGGTTGAATATGAGCATCTGTGGCTGTGTGTGATCCTGTAAATCAATAGTAGGTGTAGTTAATGAGTAATCAGGTTGTAATGGCACAAATACTTGGGTAGGAAGATAGTATTCTAAAATGGTTGCATTTTCTCTTTAAGGAAAGATGTGTTCTCTAAAGCTGGCATCTCTGCTCACAAAGATAGCTTTAGTTCTAAGTCAAACAACCTATACCCTTTCTGAACTTCTGAGTACCCTATGAGGACAGATTTTCTTGCCCTCTTTGCAAACTTGTCTCCCTTTAGTAGATTGCTAGCAAAGCATAAACATCCAAACACCTTCAAGTGATCAGTAGAAGGTGCTTTATTTTATAAAATCTCATAAGGAGACTTTTCTTGTAATAGAAATTTAGGTCACTTGTTGATCAGATATACAATTGTTTTGATGCAATCTCCCCAGAACCTGCTAGGCACAGAACTCTGAAAGTTTAATGCTCTGGCTACTTCAAGTGTGTGCCTGTGTTTCCTTTCCACCACCCCATTCTGTTGGGGTGTGTAAAGACAACTGCTTTGATGCACAATGCCTAAAGATGCCAACAACTCATTACAGTTGGAATTAAAAAACTATTTCCCATTGTCAGATCTCAACACTTTCACATTCATGTCAAATTTAGTCTTTACCATTATAAGAAAATCTTTCAACACTGTTACAACTTCAGACTTTGACTGCAATAAGCACACGCAGGTATACCTACTAAAATTATCCACAATCGTAGGGAAATAATGTTTTCTATCATATGTAGGTAACTTGTGAGGAGCCCAAACATCAAGATGGATAAGCTGAAAAATACAGTCAGTTTTGCTGCTACTAAGAGGAAATTGCAATCTACTTTGCTTAGCTAAAGGACACACTTCACAGTTATGCTGCAAAGTATTTACTACTCCATCCATTTCAATTTAGATGAGGTAGTTTTGACTTGGCATGGAGTTTAAGAGAAAAAAGAAGACTTTTGAATCTTGTGATCTTAAAAGCTTAAGGGGTAAAAGCTTTGTGAGGTCATGATATTTGTGTGGTTATAAAAGCTTCTCATGAAGGGCAAAATGGGTAAAATGAAGAGTTTAAAGTTGAATTATTTCCAAATTTAGAAATGTGCCATTTATTTTGGAATAGACTAAAAAGGAAAGTACCTTATTTAATTTGAAACGGAGGGGGTACTTTATTCTCCAAGACAGAAATGTGCTTCATTGCTATTATTGATGGATGTCCTAATCTCATGTGCCAAAGATTGCATTCATCAGTCTCCTTGGTAACCATTACTACTACAGGCTTGTCTCTCTACTTGAGTACACAAAGTCCACAGTCCTCTCTACCAATCCCCATCACCTTCCCATTGTAAAGGCCCTGCAATACACAAACGTCAGGGAAGAACAGGGCATAACACCTCAACTCCTTGGTCAATTTGGAGACTGATAACAGATTAAACTTATAAAATCTGGAACATATAACACATCCTTTAGTTCATAGCCTCCTAGTATAGAAGCATTTCCTTTGTGTGTTACTGAATACTTGCTACCTGTTGGAACCTGCACTTTATGACTCATTTGTTGCTTAATATTCTCTAAGTTAGATAAAATCTCCTTATGACATGTAATATGATGAGATGCTCCTATATATATTATCCATTCACAAAAGAATTCAGTGGACAGTAATGTGGTTATACCTGCCATAAGTGTATGACCATCACCTGCAGGTATTTTGTTCAGAAGCTCTAACATCTGTTTGTACTGACTTTCAGTGAAAACTGTCCCGGTTGTTGGCCTTGAGAAGAACTTGTAGCCTCTACTGATATCATGTTTGCATAAGCTTTGTTTCCTTTGCTTGTTGTTTCTTCTTGCTTTTAAAGTCAGGAGGATACCTTATAATTTTATAACAGTTTTCTTTGAGGTGTCTTTTGTATCCACAATGCTCGCAAATTATCCTAATCTTCTTAGCCTTATATCCTTAATTATGTCATGCCATCATAGTCAAGGGCTCCCTATTTACTTCAAGCATACTTAGCTCACGTTGGCTTTTCTCTTGAATAACCAAAGCATAAGCCTGGTTTACAGTCAACACTGGTGTCTTAAGCAATATCTGACTTCTTACTTGACTATAGCTTTCATTAAGCCCAACTAAGAACTGCAGTAAACGTAGATTTTTAAATTGCTCAATGAAATGCCTAGTCTCTTCACAATCACAACCAGGTGTTGGAACTAGCAGGTCAATTTCATCCCAAAGGTCTTTCATTTTTGTATAGTATGATGTTACAGAGTCGGTACCCTGCTTTAATGATCCAATTTGTATCCATAGAAGATAAAAACATGTGAGATTAGATTTATCAAACCTCTATTTGAACTTATTCCATACTATTTTTGCATTTGATGCATAAATGATATTCGGCTGTAATTCTGCAGATACTGTGCGTCATATCCATAAAAGAACAACCGCGTTACATCTTTCCCATTGATTCGCCAAATTCTCCTTTGTAAGAGCTTTTCAAGCAGGTTCCTTCTATGAACCCTAGCTTGTTCTTCACCAAAAGTGTCATCCGCATCGATCTACTCCACAAACCATAATTTTCAGGTCCGGTGAGCTTGATATCATTCAATGCAACTCCAGGCGTATCTGTGGCTGCTAAAAACAGAGGATGATTGCGATCAATTTGAAGACTCGTCGTTTCTCCCATGGCCGATTGAATTGAAGTTTCTAACAGTGTTCGATGTTCAGATCTTGCAAATTTTCGTCACAATTGCAACAACCCGCTCTGATACCATGATAGAATCTGGATTTGCATGAGCAATTCAAACCCTAAATTCTAGAGGATTCAGAGAATAGAGAGGAAGAAGCAGAAAAATGATTTCATTTCATTCACTGTTACTGTGATTAACAGTATATAACAACGTAACTACCACTCACGTGTCTCTCACATGTGTGCGTCTATTGTCTAAAATACCCCTCTTATAACTAACTTTAATCCTCAATACTTTCTATATTAATTAGACTAGTTATTACAGATATTCTTTTAAATATGTCCAACGAACAGTTGGCTATATTAGAACTTGACTAAATAATGTCGTTATTCACTTGAAAAATAATACAAGATCAAATATGATGGAGAAGAAAGATTGGTGACAAAGAAGATACTTTTTTTTTACCTGATATTCGATATTTATATTAAAACATAGACTAATTCGTATTCGCATCACGTAAGACACATTAAATAGTGAAACACTTCTTACAAGATGTAGAATAATCCTATTTATCACATCACAATCCATGGTGGATGATAAGAACCACCAAGAATTTACATTGTTTTCCTTTCTTTATAATATTTCTGTTGAATAAGAGATTCTCACTATTATTAAAGGACCAAACATTAGAGAATTATTTAATCAAGGAAACAAACATATTTGTCATCATCCAAGCATAAAATAAATGAAAGGAAAAGAAAAACAGAGCAGAAAGATTAACTCTAATGGTTAAGAGAATATGTGGATAGTCATCTTAAGCCATATGGTAGTCATACTATTAAAACGTTCCTTTTCTCACCCAAAAAATAATGTTCCGTTTAGTAGGATAACCATATTCAATGAATTTCGAAGCTAATTACAGTGTTATTCCAGAAAGTAGGATACTATATTATTTAAATTTAAACTAAAACTGGAGGTGCAATTAAAAGAAGCATAGATCATCCAGGTAGGACTCCACTCACTAAATTCAAAATTTACATATAGGAAGAATATTCACATAATCAGATTATCAAAGAAAGCATGAAATTAAAAGAAAAGAAAAACAAATAAATCGGTACAGCTAATGACATAACCATGCATGAAAGTCGAGGAATCAGCTTAATTTGGATTACCTCATTTTCTTTCTTTTTTGATGTCCTGACATATGTTTTAAAACTTAAAACCTCACTAATTACAAGAAAGACAATAGAGAACTTAATATAACGATTTATTTATTTTTTTGATTAATTTCCCATTTTATAAAATTACTGGAGTAAAAGATAATTTTTACCTCTTTTATATTATACGTACAATTAGGTTGCCTAGCAAGTTTCTTTGGTATGAAAGTCATTTATGGGAAAATATTTTTTAGAAAATATATTTCATATTTGGTTAGTGATAGAAAATAGTATCCAAAAGTCATGTAATAATAAGAAATTCCTGTCGTACCAAATACACCTAATATAATTTACTCAGTAGCCTTAATTAAGCAACACTCCAGAAATGCAGCATAAAGGGATAATTAAACAACACAATTCTAAATTTAAAATAATAAAAAATTAATAAAATCCAGACAAAATTTTTTGTTCCTTTTGAACTAAATAAAAAAAAAGAATTTAAAACAC